CAAAATCACGCACCATAGCCGCATATTTCTTCTGTTCTTCATTCTGATCGAGCTTTTCGATACGTAGCAGTTGCGACAATAACCTCAGTGAATGCGCATCAACATGAATAGAGATAAAATCCCTTGACATTAGATAAATCACTGTTGATGCACATAAAGCAAAATTCTGAAACCGATAGCGTCATGAGCCAATAACTACGCTTTAGAACGAATCATCACTCACCTGATCGCTAGCAGCCTCCGCTAGACCTTTGAAAACATTGGAAACGAGGCCTTCACTACGGATAAATTGTCGAAACTCAGGCGAAACACACTTTCGAGCCAATGATATAGCGCTGAATAGAAGATCGATGATCATTTGTTTTACTCAACGCACAAAAAAATATTTCTAACCTCAAGCACTTGATATTGGCAGATGAATCTCCTTTCATAGTGCTGAGGATATACTCGATATCCTGCTTGAAATCATCGTGCTCTCCAGATTCGAGGCATTGGTGGGCTTCTTTTACTTTGTGGACTCTTGCGCCTTCATTACTTTTGTAGATGGGTAAGCGCTAAAAGGATAACCATAATCGGGAAAAAACTTATCAGTGACCCTGAATGATGTTAAATCATTCTTGCGTTTATCTGCTTCCCGGTATACTCACAAACTATATGACTCAACCATTTCTTGCGAAAAATTCCCTGTGTGAAAAAATATAAAAAACCATAAAGACCAGGCCTGTCTGAACTTTGATCCAAAATCAATTACCCTAATATATACAAGGCGCGGGGATTCTATTCCAAAATCGATCAGACCAAACACGCCGAAGGACTTCGCAACCAAAGGACCCTATACCGTGATGTATATTGGTTAAGAGAATCATTAAGTGTAAGGATCGCAACCCGGAAAACATTGAAGAGGCTGAGCGGCTCGTTTAAAAAATCAAAAAAGCGCGCCTTATATGCGTGAAATTAGGGTATTACCATTTTGGATGTATATGCTGATGACAGCCTATATAGGGGTAAACCCAAACAAATTATAGAAAAGGACAAATTAAAAACCGGCAATACCGCAAAAATCTAGCTGAACTTCCGTAAGAGAACCAGCTGTTGCCAGATTTCAAATGTGCAGTAACAAAGATAAAACAAAGAATAGATTTTTAGTACGTACTTGTGTTGCACTTGCTGGCCCCACTGCCGGTAGCGCAGCCCTTTCCTCTAGATCGGCTTCGCTAGTGTTTTCAATTTCATCCTCATCATTTTCCGTCCACTTATGCTGATATACTGGGCGACGCTCCTTGGGTACAGCAAACTTGGACGAAGCTGAATATTGAGAATCTTACAGAGAAAGAAATAATAAAGGACATTGCGTACAAGAAGATGGTGGTGACATCTTGCTCCTTTTGACTGAAGGTGGAGGAGAATCGTCTTTATCGTCAAAATCGAAGGCAGACGAAGAAGTACGCACTGCTGCGCTATGAGGACGAGGTGAACGCGATGAGCGTAGTCCCGTGGCTTGCATAGCACTGAACTTATAAAATATCCTATAGTATGGGTCGCTAACAGAAAACC